ATAGAAGAGAAGCAAAAAGCAAAGGAGAAAAGGAAGGATTTACCTATTTGAATGCAGAGTTCCAAAGAATAGCAAAGGGTGATAAGAAAGCCTTCCTCAGTGATCAGTGCAAAGAAATAGAGGAAAACAATAGAATGGGAAAGACTAGAGATCTCTTCAAGAAAATGAGAGATACCAAGGGAACATTTCATGCAAAGATGGGCACAATAAAGGACAGAAGTGGTATGGACCTGACAGAAGCAGAAGATATTAAGAAGAGGTGACAAGAATACACAGAAGAACTATACAAAAAAGATCTTCATGACCCAGATAACCACAGTGGTGTGATCACTCACCTAGAAGCCAGACATCCTGGAATGAGAAGTTAAGTGGGCCTTAGGAAGTATTACTACAAACAAAGCTAGTGGAGGTGGTAGAATTCCAGTTGAGCTATTTCAAATCCTCAGTGATGATGTTGTAAAAGTGCTGCACTTAATATGTCAGCAAATTTGGAAAGCTCAGCAGTGGCCACAAGACTGGAAAATACTAGTTTTCATTCCATTCCCAAAGAAAGGCAATGCCAAAGAATGCTCAAACTGCCGCACAATTGTGCTCATCTCATGTGCCAGCAAAGTAATGCCCAAAATTCTCCAAGCCAGGCTTCAGTAGTACGTGAACTGCGAACCTCCAGATGTTCAAGCTTGTTCTAGAAAAGGCAGAGGAACCAAAGATCAAATTGCCAACATCCACTGTATCATCAAAAAAGCAAGAGCATTCCAGAAAAACATGTGTTTCTGCTTTATTGACTATGCCAAAGCCTTTGACTGCGTGGATCACAACAAACTGTGGAGAATTCTGAAAGAGATGGGCATACCAGACCACCTGACCTCCCTCCTGAGAAATCTGTATGCAGGTCAAGAAGCAGCAGTTAGAACTGACGTGGAACAACAGACTGGTTCCAAATTGGGAACGGAGTACGTCAGGCTGCATATTGTCACCCTGCTTATTTAACTTATTTGCAGAGTACATCATAAGAAATGCTGGACTGGATGAAGCACAAGCTTGAATCAAGGTTTCTGGGAAAAATATTAATAATCTCAGATATGCAGATGACACCACACTTATGGCAGAAAGCGAAGAAGAACCAAAGAGCCTCTTGATGAAAGTGAAAGAGGAGAGTGAAAAAGTTGGCTTAAAACTCAACATTCAGAAAACTTAAGATCATGGCATCTGGTCACATCACTTCAGGTGATCACTTCAGATGGGGAAATAATGGAAACATTGACAGACTTTATGTTTTGGGGCTCCAAAATCACTGCAGGTGGTGACTGTAGCCATGAAATTCAAAGATGCTTGCTCCTTGGAAGAAAAGTTATGACCAACCTAGGCAGCATATTAAAAAGCAGAGACATTACTTTGCCAACCAAGGGTCGTCTAGTCAAAGCTTTGGTTTTTCCAGTAGTCATGTATGGATGTGAGAGTTGGACTGTGAAGAAAGCTGAGTGCTGAAGAATTGACGCTTTTGAACTGTGGTGTTGGAGAAGACTCTTGAGAGTCCCTTGGACTGCAAGGAGATCCAGTTAGTCCATCCTAAAGGAAATCAGTCCTGAATATTCATTGGAAGGACTGATGCTAAAGCTGAAACTCTAATCCTTTGGCCACCTTATGTGAAGAACCAATTTGGTTTGAAAAGACCCTGATGCTGGAAAAGATTGAAGGCGGGAGGAGGAGGGGATGACAGAGGATGGGATGGCTGGATGGCATCACCGACTCGATGGACACGAGCTTGAGTGAGCTCCAGGCGTTGGTGATGGACAGGGAAGCCTGGCGTGGTGCAGTCCATGGGGTTGCAGAGTCGGACACGACTGAGCACACACTAACCATCCATATACTCTCTGGAGTTAGGGAGATTTAGGTCTAACAATGAAAACTGGCCATAGACAACACTTAAGAAGATGGTGTGATAGTCCAATAGGAGAGATTTTTCGTGGATATAAAGATAGCAGCAGAAAAGAGGGGTAATCAGTTCTGCTTTGTGAAACACAGAGCATTTTGTTGAGGAGGAGATAAAACTAAATTCTGAATGAGAGAGAAGTCCATAGTCCCTGCTGGACAAGTTCAGGTAGAGAAGTACTATTTGTAGGAATTACTATAGCGATCTGTTGAGTCTGAGAAAATGATTATAATTAAAATCTCTTGTTTATCCTCAGATAATAGAAAAGTCACTAAGCACCAGTGAGTAACTTTGTGATTACTGCCTACTTATATTATTTATTGCAGTAGCTTTCAAATTTGCCTGCATCAGAATCACCTGGAGGACTGGCTGAAATACTCCTTACCCGGTTCCACCCCCAGAGTTTTCTGTTCGGTAGGTCTGGAACAGGGTCAGAGAATTTGCGTTTCTAGCATGTTCCCAGATGATGCTGATGGTGCTGGTCCAAGGACAGCACTTGGAGAACCACTGATTTATTGAACTTTTCCTGTATATCTGGCACTCTGCCGTGTGGTGAGTATATAAAAATGGAAAGAACATGTCTGTCCTCAAGTTGCTCATGGTAAGGGGGGCAGACACAAAGAAGTAAGTGTATGACAGTGCAGTGGGTCGAATCACTTGGAAGTAGTTTGCTGTGAAAATACCCCAGTGTGACTCTTAACTCAAAATGGCTGCAAGTGTGTGTAAGACACAGAAAATCCTTTCATCCTGAGCCAAGTTTTAAAAAATACCAAAAGTAAAAACAGGTTCGCTAAGTTCCGTCGCACTGCAGGGAGGGACTGGCGCTGCTTTCCCCTCTATGCTGCTCAGGCTCCCGGCTGCTCTATATGGAGCGTGCCCTGCGCTGAGAGCGGTTCCAGCCCTGGGTGTTCCACAAAACAAACGCGCGGACTTGGCTGCGCCTGCGTTTTGTGCCTTCCCCGTCCGAGCGGCTCAGGCAGCCAAGAGCTTGACGGGCGCACTCTCCCCCGGTGCGGCACGCCTTCTCCCCTCCGTGTCCCCAGCCCCAGTCCCCACCCGTGCCAGTCGGGTGCCTGCGCCCTGTGTCTCGCCGCGACCCTCCTAGCGGATGTCAACCATCCAGAATCTCAAGAGGTCTTTGATTAGAAACTGGAGGCCTGTTTGCAGTGTGGTAGGGGATGCGGTCCTTGGGGCCGAGCCAGCCCCTTTCCCCTCCCCCCTGCCTCCTGCCTCCTGCGGGGCTGGGCCGGTCCGCAGCCTTCGGGCTCTTCTCTGGACTTGCTCGGTCCCTTTGTTCTGCAAACCGGCCGGCACTGTGTTGGGCAGGTTGATTTTCTCTCTCTCTTTTGCTGTCCCACAGTTTAAGTTGGTAACTCACAAAAGCTCCCTCCGATTGCCCTCAGGGCACTCAGGACTGGTCCTTACACTAAACAATGCCGCCCGTTCCTCTCCGTTCTGCTCCCACTTGCTGGGGGTTGCTTTTAGGCACATAATCTGTGGGTTTTATTTATTTTTCCCCTCCCAGTTAGGTTGCCCTCCGAGATTCAAAAACTTCCCCCAGGCCCGCCAGTGCGAGGGTTTCCTGGTGTTTGGAAACTTCCTGTTAAGACTCCCTTCCCGGGAAGGATCTCCGTCCCTAGCTCTTTTGTCTCTCTTTTTATCTTTTATATTTTGTCCTACCTCCTTTCGAAGACAATGGGCTGCTTTTCTGGGCGCCTGATGTCCTCAGCTAGTGATCAGAAGTTGTTTTGTGAAGTTTGCTCTGCGTTCAGTTGTTCTTTCGATAAATTTGTAGGGGAGAAAGTGGTCTCCCCGTCCTATTCCTTCGCCATAAAGTAAAAACAAATAGAAAAATGATCTTGAGTGCTGCTTTGCATGAAATTAGTAAATGGAGTTATCTTCAAAGTTGCCTTTAAGAAATTTCTGATCAAAAGTTTTTAGACATGCTTTTGGTGGTATAGGTTGGACAGCATATGTCTGAATTACTTTGCAAGTAAAAGCTGCCCCCTTCTTTTGTTAATTTGTTGTACTCATCATCAGCTATTTTTAAGATGTCAGATAATGATGTTATGTTTGTCATGCATAATTCTACATTTTTACAGAAAATGCTAGAAATTTTATTTACTTCGGAAAGCAGACAAAACCAGCCAAGAGCAGGGACACTCAGAGCCCGGCAAACAGGCTTCCTTAGGCATCCTTACCTGGGGCTTGAGGTGCTGAGCCCCAGGGGAGCACAGTCAGTTACTGTGATCGTGAGCTAGTGTGAGACGCTGAGACAAAGTGACGTCTCTGCCTTGAAAAGGGCACAGAGGAGGAAGGCAGTGGACATAAAGTCATGGATCCAGACAGGGCTGTTGATGGCTCCTACTTGGGCATGGGAAACTGGGTGAGGGGCAGAGCAGGAGTTGATGAAAGGTATACCTGTAGTGGGAAACCACTTGGTTAGTTTGCCAGAGTTATGTGCCCAGCAAATGAAAGAGTGACCAGGACAAGTAGTTGGACTGGCTTAGAGAAACAGCTGTACTCGAAGTTGTCTTGGCACGGAAGATGTTCTGCCGTCGTACTGAAGCAGTCTGGATCTGGATCCTCATCTCAGCCTACCGGGCTAACACCCTTAGAATAGTAATGATCTGTGGGGCTCCTGGCTATCTAACCATTTATATCTTTTTAAAAGCAAAAGCATATGCCTAAAGCGATGCAGAACATTTCATTTTAAATGATTATATTCCCCCTGGCAAAGGGAACTAAAGCCAAGTAGCAATTGCAGACAGAATGCTCTGAAATGGTATAGTGCAATCTGTTTTCATTAGAGATGAATTATTTTTTCTTCTTTATTTTTAATTGAAGATAATTAGATTACTGTGCTGGTTTCTGTCATACATCAACATGTGTCAGCCATAGGTTCATGTATGTCCCCTCTGTTTGGAGCCTCCCTCCGACCTCCTACCCCATCCGACCCATCTAGGTTAGAGATGAATTATTAATGGAAATTGTTTGTAGTGTTTTTTGAACTGTCCTTTAATTATATAGTTTAATTAATGATGAACTCTTCTAACCTTTTTCTTAGCATACATCTGTGGATGGATATACTGAACCCCATATCCAGCCAACCAAATCAAGTAGCAGACAGAACATCCCTCGGTGTAGAAACTCCATTACGTCAGCAACAGATGAACAGCCTCACATTGGAAATTACCGTTTACAAAAGACAATAGGGAAAGGAAATTTTGCCAAAGTGAAATTGGCAAGGCATGTTCTAACCGGTAGAGAGGTAAGTTTTCACGATGCCTTTTAATACTTACTTAGACCTCTCTAGAGTCTTACTAAAAAAGCTTTCCTATAGCTGATTCTGGGAATAAATTAACAGTTGTAATACGGTAAACACTGGGGTATGTGTGAATGAAATGTCCATAGATAGAGTTATACTTGGCACAGAAAAATTGTCCGTACATATTAGCACCTCTTATAAATCAGATGTGTTGCACATGAGGTTTTCTTAGACTTCTGTCTTTCATTATATGGTTTCTGTAAACATTTCAGATTACCCTTGCTACCCAACCCCAGGAACTAGGATAACTTCCCAGAAGCTAGGATAACTTCTGATTAATTACTGCTTAAGCTGTACTGTATATAGGAAAGAAATCTGAGGTTGTACATGTGAAACTTACATAATGTTAAAAGCCACTGTTACCTGAATAAAAAATAAATTTTAAAAACTACTACTTGAAGTAAATTAGGTATAAATGTGTAGGAAATTAGCCGCTAATTTTTAATCTATTTAGAGATTACGTTGAGCAAGTTATACAGATGTTTTTCTCAGATAATAAGAGAATCAGGTTTCTAAAATCCTGTGTGTTTCAAAGTAGGTATATTTACATAGTAAAATATATGTTTTAATAATAATAATATATTTAATAATTTATATATTAAAGACTCAAAATAGTTAGACATCTAACACTCTATATTACATGATTGGATCCAATTAGGACATTATGAAAAGTCTGTCATAAATCATTTTTGCTAAGTTACCATTTTGTTTTATACATAATATTATTGTCACTTATGGTTAAATTTAGTCTTCTCTGTCCATTTTGACCCCAGGAGCTATTAGGACACAGGCTATATTAGACAAAGACTTAGAGGACATTTAAACCTGTTTTGTTAGTTTGCTGTAAGTTTGGGTGTCCAGTCTCTCTCACCACATATTACTTAACTTACTAAAAGTTTATAAGCCTCTCCCTTCTGATAATTATGACTTACCAAGATCATGAGTCAAATATTAAGGTACAAATGATTTTTACTTTAAAACGGGAAACTTGGAAGAACTTTGACAAAGGTGTAATTTCACTGACTCAGAATCAAATCGATTACAGACTTGGGTCAATAGAATATATTCTGAGGCTGTCTAGTTATCAAAACTTTACCATCCAATTATGTTAACCCCCAGTATAGCTATCTCTCGTTAGGATGAAACAAAAGATGTTTTCTTTATAAATTTTATTTCTTAAGATAAATATTCTCAAAATTTAATGATTCTCTTTTTCAGGTTGCTGTGAAAATAATAGACAAAACTCAGCTAAATCCTACCAGTCTACAAAAGGTATTTAATTATTTTAATAGTAAGTAATTATAATGTGATTTATAATCAATATATGATACTCTGTAGAATCAGTTATTCTTAATTTCCCATTAGGTACAATTCTACATTTCATCAGTATATATGAAGAAAAGACTTGATATAAACATAATATTTACATTTGTTAATATTTAAGTATTTATCAAATGTTTGAAAAATATCTACTCCTCAAATGCATGTACCGTGTCAAAGGAACTTATGTCTTTTAATACAGTAGAATAAAACTTTTTGTATCAGATATTTTGAAGTACTTAGGATTCTGCTTCATTCTAATCAACTTGAGATACTATTGTCAGTAGCTGTGTTTCCTATTGCTTCAGTTGCTTTTCTTCCTTCCTCTACAAAAACTACAGTAGAAGATTACTGTAGAAGTTACTGTATGCTAACTTACAGTAGAAGATATAAACATTTCTTCAAAGGGTGAACATATAAAACAGCATAGGGACCAAAAAGGCAAGTAGGATGGGAATTAACCTGGTAAATTTAATAAAGCTGGTTCATGTTGCTTCATTATTTATTTGGGAAAACTTTCTCAGATACACATTTTAGTACTTTAAAAACGAAGCAAATATTTTAGCATTTGTGCCATATATGTTGTTTATATATATAGCTCACTGTGTACTATATAAGTATATATGTGTAATTACATATAAGTACATTATTATTTTTATGAGAATATAATGGATCGTGGTTACATATGTAAGTATGGTATAAATAACTGGATTTCTAAAACAGAATTCTATAAGAAAGTTTTAGTGTGGTATATGTAACTATACCTGCTGTGATTCTGACATTAAATGAAAATTTTGGGTCAGTGATAATCAAGACTTCCCACTTTTCATAGTATTGGTATTTCTTACCTGTATGAACATGAAAGGTTTGCTGGGTTTTTTTTTTTTTTTCTCTGTGAGTGTGAGATGATATATGCCTTGTTGGATGATTTTGGGAGAAACTTCCAGTACCTGTCTCTCAGCTAATCATGACTTAGTGGTATGAGTTATAAAAAGGCATCTTCCTTGGGCAGACAAATTATCCAAAGATGCTGTTTCTTCCTGTGTTAGAGCCACAGTGGGGCAAATTTTTGCCCACCCCTCTCCTGGGAATCCCTTTAAAACACAGAGACTGCATAATAGCCCAGAGGCCCCATTCATGACCCAGCTAGCCTCTCCTTTTTTCTGAGGTTAATCTGTGTGATACTCTGGTAAATTAAGTGATTTTGAGTGATATGTAGAACTAGTCTAGGCCTGTTGTGCTTGTTGGGTGCAGGGTAATGTGATCCCCACTCTGTCTTTCCCAGAGGGGCCCAGAGAAAGTTGTGGAACCAAAGCCAACGCTTGTTGAAACATGCAGACATGCAGATGTGAAGCTGGACTGTTATTCAGATAAAAGATATGCTTGCTGATGTAATTTCTGTTACAGATTCTGCTAAATTCTGCTAATCTTGCTGATAAAGGGTTGCTTTTTCAAATAGGCATATAAAACATGATGGCAATTTTGTTTTCTTAAATCTGTGAAAATAAAAGCAAAGATTGAAATTTACTAAATGTAGCCAGTACACCATGTGTATTTTGTTGTTTTCATAATAATTTTTAATTATGTTCATAGCTTTGCCTTTTGTTAAAAGATTTAGAAAAGAACAGATCGAGGCTTGCTTAGTTTTCATGCATTGTAGAATATTCAACATTTGGCATTACTCACTGAATGCTCGGAGCATCTCATATGGAAGTCAGTCATATTTAAGAAATAAAAATATAAAACATGGAATTAAAAGTAATCATTTTCCCCCCTTAGCACTGACAGTCAAGTAATAGTAAAAAATAGCAAAATGGCTTTCCTTTTTGCTATTAGTGCCTTAGGTGTGCTTGTTAAGAGGCAGATTATGACAGCACATATTTGCAGTAAAGATTCATTTTAATCTCATCTCAGCCCAAAAGTGTTTGGTTAAGTCTTGCTCTGGACTTGATCTGAATTTAAGCCGGTCCTTCTTGTTTATTCTTTTTTGTATAGCCTATTAATAGGCAATATTGCTTTCCTTTGCCAACATTAGTGATAGATGAGAGTAATCTAAATTTGATACCCCAACTGTTCCAAACTTCTGAAATATAGAGGTCTTAAAAACAGTTTGGTCTTTGGAATTGTTAGCATCTTTAGTTTCAGCATTGCTCATGTAATATGCTTGTATTATTTGTATTACATATTTTAAATTAATGGAATCCAATTTAATACATTTTCATAGTTTAAGACTGTTTAGCATAGATGTTTTATTTACTTGTTCCTCTTTGGAGCATGACTCCCACCTCACATATTAGTGATTTTTTAGAGTAGGGTGTATGAACTATACTAGTGATTCCCTGGGGATATTTTAAGAAGCTTATTACTGATGGAGAAAAAGCAGAATGATGAAGCAGTTTTATTCATAGTTCACTAACTTGAAATGTAAGATTAGTTGTTGTTTTCTCTGAAATCCCACCAAGTTTTGAAACTTGGACATATTAGTTTATACACAGATTGACAAAGTTTGTGTTAGTTTGTCTCTGCTCACAATCATCAGGGTGCAGTTTATCTTCTGTATATTACTTATTAATTTGCATCTTTCAGTATTTTACTGTGTTGCGTTATATTTCAAAATCACAGAAGTAGCACAGTGGTTCAGACGTCATCTGCCGAGTAGTAAAGCCTGCAGTGAAAACAGAAACAAGACACTCAACTCCTTAATAGTGAGAAGGGCAGCAGCCCAGTCACAGAGAACAGGGGTCCCTGTGGCAGTGATTGTGCATACGCGGGGCAAGTATAAAAAGCTTCGGTAATTGACATCTAGAAGTTAGACTTACTGAGTGCATAATTCATTTACTGCTAGTGTGTTATCTGGTGTGTAAAAACATTGTCAAATGGTCACCTAAGCCATTTATACTTCAGCGAGTTTTCAAATGAAACCCAAAGACCTCTCTGGTAAGATAGTTAAGTTTTCCAGAATATCTTCAAAATAATCTGTATCGTGTTGGTGAATTTGGTCAGTAAAAGTAGAGAGGAAGACAGAATCATGGAAGCAATTCAGAATTAACTTTTCTTTTAACACATCAAAAAACCAAACTTGTAAAGGCAATCCTATAATTATTGACAAATACTTTTGATCAAGAAGAAAGCAGAAGCTCCTTGGCAGTACTCCTTAACAAATCTCCCTGTTGCACATCGGTTGAAAACCAGTTACTCTCACATGTGCCTGCTCTCTCACATATTTCACTTTGTAGCTGCAAAAAGCCACTTACGTGCTGAGTACTTCTTGTGCACAGCTCTTTTCATGTGTGTAGATCATTTGAAGGGAGAGTCTTGACCAGTTCTTTCGTGGACGAATGAAAGCCTAAGTCGTAAGAGAAGAACTAGCATTTAGTGAGCTGGTTGCAGACTGCGGAAGTGGTCTCTGAGTCGTTCCTGAGTTCACGCATATAAGTTCACACAGCCACAGGCGTGACAGTGCTGTGTGAATGCGCAGGCTCATTCCCAGTGCCAGGTCGCTCATCGCTCATTCTCCATGAAACTTCTGGTTGGTGACATGTCTCTGACCTTGATTTGATTTTAAAGGAATGCTGGAAGCAGGGACTATCATAAAATCTTGGCTATTGGGAGATGTCTCTGTAGCAGTGTGGAGAATTGGGAAGTGTATCTTTCACATTGAAATATGATGAATTTGAGGGAGAAGGTGTTCAAACAAATTTCTTCTAAAATTTATTTTTAGTTGAAGGATAATTACTTCACAATATTGTGTTAGTTTCTAAACAAGTTTCTTTTAAAACGTGATACCAATAATGTTAATATCTAACTAAAATATCAACAGTTTAAATGTTAAAGATAACCAGATTTTCTGGAGAGTTGCTCTTGTTTAATTGCGAGGTAGTATCTTAACTCTTTTGCGACCCCATAGACGGCTTCTCTGTCCATGGAATTTCCTAGGCCAGAATACTGGAGTGGGTTGCCATTTCCTTCTCCAGGGGATTTTCCTGATCCAGGGATCAGACCCGCATCTCCTGCCTTGCAGGCGGATTCTTTACTGCTGAACCGCTGGGGCAACCCCTTTTTGGAAAGACCAAACTGTATTTCAGGCAGTTCACTGACCAAAACCCTGACTTTTCTAAACCCTGTTTTAGCCCTCAGTTATTGGACTAAGAGTTCAATAACATGTTATAGGCAGGTTTAACATACAAATGTTACATGGAAATATGAAGACTACTTTCCAGAGTAAGCATATCCAAAGAGTATATTAAGAACCCATTTGCTGTTATCCTTCAGATTGAAATTTCTAGTCTTCTGACTTTTTAGTGTGATTAGATCAGTAGCCTAGAATCTGTCTGAGAGCTGTGCATAATCTTTTTAAAGAACTGCTTTTGTAAGGTTAGATGCACTAATTAGTCTGAATGTCTTTAACATACCTCCCACTGCTTCCTTAGTTCCTTTCACTGGTCAATCTGGATTATAATTTAGGATTTTTTTAATTGAGTAGAAATAAGAAGGAAAAAAAAAGGTAAAGCTAGAAATGGAAACTGCCTTATGATTAAAGCTGCATGTCATTGAGTCCAATACATGTGTTAATTAATTAATTCTTAATCTAGCAAATATTTATTGAATGAAGATTATATTTCCCCTTATGTTTTCCTCTGTTTTTCACTCCTCCTTTTCTATTTCTTTTAAATGGAGTCATATTCCCTTTTGTTGGCCACTCAATGTTGGAGTTTCACAAGGCATGGTCTTAGGACTCCCAATGTTTTCTTCCTAGGCTGTCTCAAGGGTAACTCTGGTTTAAATGATCACCTATAAGCAAACACAGATTTATTTCTTCAACTCAGAACGCCTCCTACATTTGCTTGTGACCCCTCAAAGATAACCCAAACTTATATCCAGAGCTGAGCTCGTGACTCCCGCACCTGCTGCTCTTCCAGTGTCCTGTCTCAGCAAACGGACGGCACTGTCCC